AAAAAAAAAAAAAAAAAAACAATGGAATCTTGAAATTTGCAGGAAAATCGATGGAACTCGAAGAAACCACTCTGAGCAAGGTAACCCAATCACAAAAAGACAAACATGATATGTACTCACTCATATGTGGACCTGCTTTATGATACATAGTAGTGACCATGCTTTATCAGAGCTGTTTTTAATGATGTTGCTCAGAATGGTTTCCTTCCAGATGATGATTGAGAAGCTAATTTAAAAAAAATGGTGCCAGGTACCACAAGAGTAACAGAACTGCACTGTTTTTCTGGGATTTTGTTTTTTACTTTTTTTTTTAATGTAGAGTGCTGGCTGTCTCTACAATTTTGTTCAAATGACTGCAGAACCTGGAAAAGCTGTTGCTTCTATTGATGCATAACATAATGCGATTATTGGTCTTTTTATATAAATATAAATATATATATACATAAAAAATAATAATAAATAAATAAATGGTCCTCATAGGTTCATAAGAAGTGGCAGGCACTATTAGGAGGTATAGCCTTTTTGGAGTAGATGTGGCCCTGTTGGAGGAAGTGTGTCACTCAGCATGGGCTTTGTGGTTTCAAATGCTCAAGCCAGGCATAGCGTCACTCTCCCTTCCTTCTGCCTGCCAATGTGTATGTGAAACTCTCAGCCCTATGTCTACCTGCATGCCACCATGCTTCCCACTATGATGACAATATACTAAACTCTGAACCTGTAAGCAAGCCCCAGTTAAATACCTTCCTTTATGAGAATTGTTGTGGCCCTGGTATCTCTTCACAGAAATAAAAGACATAACTAACACAGATGGCATCTGCTTTAGGATTTTTTTCCCTTTCCATCTATAAACCTGCAGTTTTCTAGGAATCGTATCAGAAACCAATCTACATAGAAAGGAAATGCACTAAACCCTTTTAGGTGTTCATGGTTTTTACTATGTTAGATTACCATTCCACCCCAGGTGTCTCTGGACACAGCCTGAAATTCTCATTAAAAAAAAAAAAAAAAGGAAAAAAGGGAAGAAACAGCTTCTTACAAACTTTAAGATGCAATTTGAGAGTCACTAAAATGGTATGTATGTCTAACTCTAACAGTTCCTATGCTCCCTTGGAAAGCCATACCCACGCTTGAGTATGTCTTACTTTCTGACACTCCCTCTTGAAAGGGACACTTGGATGTATCTTTCTTTCTGAGTGGCTCTTTCTCTTATGTTAAACTTTCTTTAATAAAGTCGACAGTTCTTCTTTATATTGGCTAGTCCTAGAATTCTATTCTGCCTTGAAGCCACAAATCATAATTTAGGCTGCACTGAGGTCCATAAAAGACTTCAGTTTGCTGGGATGGGGCTATGCATCGGAAACCTTGCCACTGGTAGGAAGAGAGTCTGTTTTTTGCTATCCAACCCCTTTTCCTTAGTTGGGTTAACACACACAGAGACAGCTTCTAATCTTTATCTTAAATCTTTTTGAATTTCCTATTGCAGAGATTTTCACCCAATGCCCAAGAATTCCTTATAGGCCCACGGAAAGCTATGGGGGGGAGGTGTCAAACTTCAGTGTAAAACAATAGTAGCATTACTTTCTATAAACCTTTAACCAAAATGTTAACTACATTTCCTTTAATTATGACTACATGTGATAAAGCAAAGTAATATTGAAACTAATGTTATATTTTGATCTAGAGTATTCATATATGTTTTCATATCACACTGAATTGGTATTGTTTACTCAAAAATCTCAGTTTAATTGACAACTTGTTTCAAAAATATAAGTTGTTTTACTATTAGGCTTCAGCTAGAACACATGGACCGCTGCCTGCTTGTCTACAGATATAAAACAATACAGTAGGATATCAAGACAACTACTACATAATTTTAACAAAAATTTTATTTTATTTTTGCAGATGGATGTTTTGCCTACAGGTATGTCTGTGCACCATGTGCAAGCAATGCCTGTGGAGGTCAAAAGAAGGCATAGGATGCCCTAGAACTGGAGTGACAGATTGTTGTGAGTTTCCATGTGGGTGCTGGAACTCAAAACTAGGTCCTCTAGAAGAGCAGTCAGTGCTCTTAGCCACTGAGCCATCTCTCCAACCCAAATTTTAATTTCTTGGATAAAATATTCCAATGTATTGGTTTACTTTTTATATCCATATATTTTATTTTATGTGCTTATAGATATTATTAGTAAAAGTCTTCAGGCTTCAGCATACTGCCAGAGTGATCACAGCACAAAGATGGGTCAGGAATCACAGCATATAACTAAAGAAAGAGTACTCCTGTCTATCAGCAAGTAAAACTCTTTATCAGCTGTCTTGTCTGTTGCCTGAAACAATTAATGAAAGCTAAGCCTTCTGTATAAAATCCCAGCTGCTATGATCTGAATGCATCTGTTTAACTCTTGGTCCCCAGATGGTTTTAGGATCATTGCAATAACATTTGGGCTCCAACTTGCCATGTGCTAGAATGGCACGTTGTATAAGAATCTAGCACACAGCAGATTCTGTGATGGAAACTCTAGAAGTAGGACCTAGATGAAGGAAGAGGGTTGGTGGAGGACATGTTTTTGAAGGTTATATTTGTCCCCGGTCCCTTCCTCAACTTGCTTCGTATCTACAATGTCATCACCAGTGAGTGTCCTCCTCTTGGTGCTCCAACCACCTTTATCACAGGCCTAGGATCAGTGCAATCCGTGACTCCAAAGTAAAATCTCTGAAACTGGGCAAAATAAATAGCTCTAGCTCCCTCTAAGTAGTTCTGCTGAGCAGTGGGTTAGGGGATTCTTTTACATCAAAACAAAACCAGAACAAGACGAAACCAAACACAAATATAATTTGTACACTAAGAGAGAAAAGCATGCTACCTTACCCAGGAGTTTGATGATTGCAGCACCCAGCAAAAAAGAAAGACACCTAGCTGGTTTGATAGCCTCAAGAGATGGAATAACCATGGTTATCTGTTGATAGAAAGAAGAAGGTAGAAGAGAAGATAAGGCAAGGAAAGCAGGAGAGAGAACCCAGAGGAAAGAAAGCCCTCGGCACAGATGCCAACCTGTAGACCACAGACAGGGAGGGGAAGCAGGAGCTGTAGGACAATGTTATTGGCGTTTGTCCTCCTGGGTATATTCACTGTGGGTCACCTTTCAAATTAAATCCTACTAAGTTAGAAACCAGCTCTCTGGAACCAAAAACCTGCACTCTGAAAGGATCCCTTGTCTTCCACAAAAAGTAATACATCTCCCTAACTGTTAGGAAGATGTCCTCTCTACATGACTCTGATAAATGACCTGACCAGAGAGGTTGCCTCTTCTCATATAAAACCAAAAACAACAGCTCAATGGTAGAGAATATTTCATTTTATGCTCAACAAGGAAGTTTGGAGGCATCCCCTTGTGGTCTTCAGTCCCCACTCCACCAATTGATTTTCCCACCATGGTGATCAACTGTTTTATTCAATTTCCCATCTTCTTTTTTATCCAACTATCCTGACCTTCCTTTTTATATATACAGTCTTTGTCTTTGAAGGGCAAAAAGCTTTCTACATAATAGAAAACTTCAGCATCTAGTTGTGTTCACAGCCACTGGCAGCTTTACTTATTTCTTTTCATGTACTTGGATTAGCGCTTTCTCAATGAGCTTTCCAAATCCAGGCAAGCTCTTCTCTCTCACTTCAGAGGGCCTCTTAGAGATTTGTACACACACAAATGGGAAACGCCATATAAACAGTTTGACAAACATCTTTTCAGGGTTTTTTGTCCTTCTTGATCTTAAAAAGGAAACTGTAGATCCTTTATTTAAAATACACATATGCACAATAGTTAAATGTGATTTTTATCTTAAATATTGAAGAGTTTATCTCAGCTATGCTGAGAACAGTCATTCAGTCTGTAAAAATACCTTCAGAGTGAGTGCAGTCTGTTGCCTCATTCTTTAAACAAAGTTTGCTTGATAATGCAAACGCTGACATCATGTGACGATGTCCGCACATTTCTTTGTAAAAGTAGAATTATGGAATATGATACACCAGTACAAAGTTGCATAACACGAGTAAAATATACAAGTTACAGTGAAATAAAGGAAGCATGTGGTTCTGTCTTGTGTTCTTTTAGCAGTCATATTGCTGTAAAGAAAATGAAATTTATGTTAGGTTATTATCAGTGTCAACACACAGTACAACTTGTGTACTTTGCATCCCTAAAGCAAAAATAACAGTGACCTCAATATTTATTGAAAGTTAGCCAGCTACACACTTAGGGTTCAGACCAGGCTCACAAAATGTTTCCTAAACAAACCAGACCTACTTTCTTCTCCAGAAACTGGAGATATTGACATGAAACTGCTTGATATTGACATGAAACTGGCTTGTAGTGTTTGTGTGGGTCTCTACTCTGAAGGAGATATTTAAAATAATGGCATGGGAACTTCCCACTGGTGTGGGCTTACTGTGGATAACCTTTCAAATCAAATGCTACCAAGCTGGGAGCCAGCTCTTGTGAACTAAATGCCCTGTCCTGTAAGAGCATCTTTTGTCTTGCACATAAAAGTAATAGATCTTCCTAAATGTTAGGAAGAGGCCCTTTCTACAGTGTCTAATGTGAGGACCCATGTGCTTGCCTCCAGTTCAGGAGATTATCTCTCCTCACAAAACACAGAACCAATTTTGTCCACTGACTCCTTATGCCTGTGCCCCAAATGCATGGAAGTCCAGCAGTAGCTGTGGACTTAATGCTGGACTGAGTTTATGTTCTGCTTCAGATGAGTTTCAAGGGTGAGCAGGGGTTTGCATTTAAGAATCAGTCCCAAGGCTTTATCCTGTTCTCCTTCCCCTCAGTTGCCTGAAAAACATCCACATACTGAAGTTTTCCAACTTGGCTGTTTTCTTGGAAGATTGGCAGGATCCCAAAAAAAATTCTTAATATTGTGGTACTTTCATGATAGGGAAAGCTAGATGTGAAATTCAACTTCCTCTTAAAATATATAGAAAGTTCCCAGAATATTTACAGCCAAAGTTTTCCCAGTAACAGGAACTTTGGGTTTCTATTAGGTTTTTTGTTTTTGTTTTTGTTTTTGTTTTGTTTTGTTTTGTTTGCCTTATTTTCAGAGCAAATCAGAAGAAAATTAATTAGAGGGATAAATGGCATAGGATGTAAAATATAAATTAAATAAGTTTGATTACTTCATCTTGTTTTAAAGAATAAGACATAAAACAGCAACTTCCCAAAATGGGTCAGACCTTGACTTCCCATCTGTTCAATAATATTATATTTTTAGGAAGATAAAGAAAAAATAACTTTCTCCATTATGAAAAGTAGATATTTCACTCCTAAGTCATATCCCCAGGAAACCAGAGCTTCCTGGCTTTCTTTCATAGAAAGTTTCTATTCAAAGGCTAATAATTGTGCCCCATGCTTATTATATAGGCATTTTTGTTACTCCTTATTAGGGCAGAATTACAGAGAATCCAGCAGGACAAGGAGTACAGGGTATAAATTAAGAGGAAGGGCTTTGGGCAAAGAACTGAAGTCTGTTACCTCCTGCCTAAGTAATCTTAAACATCCTCTTTAATGCTAGAGTCAGACTCCCATGGAGAATGAGTTTAGTGTAACATCTGATATAATCAGTGTTTGTTACTATTCATGTGTACTTAGGAGCATGAGGGCAAGCATTTTGGACACTCATGTGTAGCTGTAACCAGAGTGGGGTGAGTAAAACTTATAGGGATTGACTTGGAAGAGGTATTGGGTCTATGGGCAAGTGTTCCTCTGCCCACAGAGCCATCTACAAACCAAGATAACTGAGTCTGTGAAACTCAGCATTGAAGCCAAATTGAATTAATAAATGCCTACCTGCAAAGACAAAGTAAGAGTAAGTGCTGGTGGGTTGAGCATGTCTGTTTTTGCCTTTTCTCTTTGATGAGAAGAATGGTGCCTTGTGGCAACTGAACACTATAGGGCTAAACCTCAGCATTGTCACACAAGTTCTCACCTGTTGGTGGGAGCAGCAATAGCTACATATGCCTCCAAGCACTTCATTTATGACTTGAATAAGACACAAGATGAATTCAATTCCACCGAGCGCCAAGAGGATAGAAAATAGGGTCACATTCCATTCCACAATATTCTTAGGCTCATGGCACTTGGACCATGTAGTGGGATCCAGAAGGTACCTGTGGTCAGAAGAGAAACTTCAGGCACATGACTACAGCTTAGAGGGATTTCATAACTTAGTTTTTTGTTTGCAAGTTTTTATTCAGAAACACAGAATTGAATTAACACAAAACTGTACTAGCACACGGTTTTGTACAACATACCATTCCAACAAATGGCAAGTTGCAGCCTAAATGTTCTTGCAATGATAAACACAAAATTAAAGCACAAATTTTTACATTAATCCAGTATTCTGTGGCTAAAATGTTCTCACACTAAAGATTCTTATATTCTGTAAAAGACAAATGATTCCGTGCAAGAAAAAAAGCAAAGCTATATTTGCATCATATTTAAGACCAAATTAAAAAAATCAAGTCATGTTTCATGTAGATGTAAACTAAAAGCAGATATGGAAAAAGGGAAACAATTCATGTTGGAGGGTAGTAAACTTATAAAGCATATTTTTATTCTGTTACCCATTTTTTATTGCTTAATTATAATCTGTGGGAGAGATATTGAGCAAATATTTATTTGGAAAATATATTTTATATTAGATTTTCAACTTTAAGGTATTATTTTATGAAGATACCAAACACCCAACTTTTTGAAAACTGTCCAAACCCTGCCAGGTTAGAATTCAAGAGACTTTTTTTTTTCAAATTGTTGACATAATTTTTTAAATTTTTTAAGCAAAAAGTTAATTGGCGATAGAAAACACAAGGGTTTAAGTCCAGTCTCTTTACTTTCATTGTGTTATGCCCATGCCTCTCCTCTGTAGCAACATAGAACAACTTCCCTTCAGCTGTTTGACCTAGAATACTGATTTCAAAATTGAGCTGGAGCTGGGACATAATGGTGGGTTCTGTCCTTCAAGAATATGGACTCTGACAGAAGAGCACTGATGTCACGTGCACTGATCAGGGAAACAAAGTGTCAAAGGCTACCAAGGAAAACCACCTTCCAGAGAGAAGACCTATTACATACCTACTCGGCAAGGCTGAGCTCCATGAAGGCAGAGGCAGAGCCTGTTCTTCTTAAACCCAGCCACCAGCACAGTGTCTGGAACATGGTGAGTTTTAAAAGCCACAGAATGGTAAATAACAACCTGAACTCCCCTTGTTAAAAATCACGAGGCCATGCTAAGGTTGTGTGTGTGTGTGTGTGTGTGTGTGTATGTGTGTGTGTGTGTGTTGGATTTCTTTTCTAGACTGTCAGCCCTTGCTACCTCATGGAATATTTGGATTCCCAGTAAAGTAGGATTCAACCATGTGGGAACATCCAACATGAAGGAGTGACCTAACCCCACAAAGAGGCCTGGTACAATTCCTTATCACCTCTTACTACCCCAGCTTGAAACCAGACATCTAACTTTGGAACAGTACACTGAGCCAATAAGATATTCAACTTGTTGATTTGAAACAAAACACACTGCCATCACTCCACCCCTAAAAACAAAACAAAAATCTGACATTCTGGCCCTGTGTTTCTGCTTGTCAATAGAACAAAGTCTGTTTTTCAGGTTACGGAGTCAAAATTTTCTTTGGCTCTATTTAACTACTGAAAAATTAACCACTGGTTTGGAACTGATAGTTACTCTATATATTGAGATCCCTGGAAAGAATTGAATAAGAAATGATCTAGGACAAGAGGAAGTTTTTTAATAAATAAATAAATCATAATGATCAATACAAATGAATCTTAAAATTTGTTGAGTGATAGACATAACCCTCCATGCATCCCAGCTGCATGCATTTTGACTGTCCTTGGAGGTAGTTTCATGCAACTGTTCTACATGCTTGTACAAACATGAATCATTTTCAATGAGTACATTATGCTCTCAACAAAGATGAATCACACTGGTGACATAAAATCTCCACTCCAGTAACTACTAGGTTCCTGTCAGAGACTATCATTCGGTCATGTTCATCCTAAGTTAATGCTGGCATGGCTCACAATGTGTCACCCTTCACATGAACACTTCACACATACATCATCTCATTAATGCTCATAAAAACCACCATTGGTTCCATTCTACAGATGAAATCACTGAGAGACAGAGAAATCAGCTCACTTCTTCCTGTTCTTAGAGAGTGAGTGTGGAGCTGAGATTGGACCTGTCTAATTCACATTTTTTTCTCATGGAGGAAAAATTAAACACACACTCTCTCTCCCTCTCCACATCCTTGCCATGCAATTCATGTGGAACAATATTATTGATAATATGAAGGACAATCCATAATCATTATTATTTTTTCATTTTTGTCCTTCAAGAACTTAGCCTTTCAAAATTCAAACTTAAGAAGCTGAATCAGGCCTGGGGAGACGGTCAGGGGTTAAGAGTATGTGATGCTCTTGCATAGGTCCCTAATTCAGTTCCTGGCACTCACATAGGGCAACTCACAAACCACCTGTATGTCCAGCTCCATAATCCCAAAACCTTCTTCTGGACTCTATATGCACTCACACATGCACACACACACACACACACACACACACACACACACAGAGAGAGAGAGAGAGAGAGAGAGAGAGAGAGAGAGAGAGAGAGAGAAAATAAAATCTCTTCTTTTAGAGAAATCAAGTCAGGAAAGGTTGAACTATACTCATTCATTTCCACATATACGAGTTTCCACCAGCTTTTCTATTCTGTTCCTTTGTCATAACCCATAAAACGAAAATACCAACACAACACAATGGGGCCACACTTAACTACACTGAAGTTAGAGTTGTGAATAAGACCTTTCCTGTGTCTCCTGGTAACTTAAATCAAAATGTTTGCATGTTACATGTGAGCCAGCATATGCAGGTGGAGGGTGGGAGCATTGCTTGTCCTGGGTTCTGATTACAAATGGGTACTATAGTACTTTCTCATGAACTACTAAAATGTGTTGTGTTTGCTCTGCCCATCATTGTGGTTTAATTTACACAGTATCTGAGCATAAATTCTATAAGGCAGACAGGTTGGGTTCAAAGATAAACTGGTATTTTCAAGCAATGAGAGTTTGGATAAGTCACCATCTTCCTTGGCCTCTTTTTCTCATTTGCAAATGAGAAGTAACAATGGGAGTCTCCACATAGGGCTGTTGTAAGAACAAAGTCAGTATATGTGTTCAATAATATCTAGAATTTGTCCGGGTTAATGATTGCCCATCCAACCTTACACACTGAATGAATTGTTGTAAGGTAATATTGGGATGCTGGACAGATAGATGACTTCGTTTTTATGTGTTGTTTAAGAATGTATTGCTAGGGAAAGAACAATTACATACTGTCCATCAGTGTTGGCAAAGGTGTAGTTCCACACACCGTGGGAATCACTACACTTTGGTCCTTCTGCCAAACCCAGCGCTGCCACAATGACGCAGTAGCCAGATCCTGCAATGCCAATGAGAGCAGCCAGTACAGAAGAAAGCATCTAGGGAGAGAAAAAGCAAGAAGTAAGCCACAGTCCTGCATCAGGAATGAAGCCCTTTCACTAGGAGGCAGGGCCAGCAGACTTACCGTACATCTCTTGCCATAGTTCTCACGGCCGCAACAGCCACAGCAGTCATCTTCCTCCAGCCCAATGAACACAAACGCGGGCAGGAGTACCTGATGGGAAGGCAAACAGAATCAAGTCATTGTCTTTCCTGAGCTTGTATGGGCGGGGTTAGGCAGTTCATTTCTGATAATTAGATTAACCAAATACCATGAATGATGGAAAAGCCTGAGAAGAAACAAAACTATTGCATTTGTTACATGTTTTCATGAACAGTGGGTGAGCATACAGAATGTGAAACAATAGTCTATAAATATGAGCATCCCTACCATATTCTCACGTGAAAGCTGTTAGCACTGTTGATTCTAAACTCTGTCTTTAAATAGTATTTCTCCCCTTGACTAACATAGAAGATCAAATCTTGAGTAGAATGACTGAAACCTTTTGAGTAAGTAAAAAAGATTAAAAAAAATTCTATAAAAAAATATCTATTTCAACTCAGCAGTAATGCTCTTCAAATAAGAATGAGCTACTTGAAGTTTAAGGCCGAGGACACTAAGCACAGTGGGTGTTAAGTAGCAACTTCATTTGTTCATTAATTGTATTTGTATTAATTATGGGAACATGAATGGTTATAATGCTTACACTCAAGGCACATTTGCCAAGCCATGCCACAGCGAGTATATTAGGATTAAATACCTTAACAACTTCTAATTGGCAAAGAAAATAGTATTCTCTATGACAGTAACAATCCCACAAAATTTCTCTTTGCAATTCTTAGTCACAGCATTTTAAATGAGCAAACCCAAATGTGTCCACATTCCGTCTGTGTTGACAAAGCTAAATGTGTCAAGTAAATTCCTGTCAGCTTCAGCTAAAATCAAACTGTGGAAAAAAAAAACAACACATTCCACCATTAGACTGATACTAACCTACTTCTAAATCCAAACCCAGGAGAAAGCCTACAGTTACTTGAAAATACCAGTGCAGTCACTTAGTATTTCCCCCATCACAGATGCTGGAAAATAAGCAACAGAGAAAGATTTAGACCGGGGACTGTTCTCTCCCTGAAGCAACTGAGAAGTGACTGTCATTCCAGCACTCAGAAACTCGATAGTCTCTCACATCTTGAAAAGTGGCTGCTTTTCAAGCTGTAAAGTAAAAGCTTCGGGGAACAGAGTTCACTCTAAGGTAAAAGATTTTATTAAAACAACATCTAATGAGATTAGCAAAAAGTTTAACACAACCTTGAAACAGTCTGCTTTTAAAAGAAAAACAACAACAATATCCGAAGGATTTGCAACGATTTGCAGGCAGGCATTATAGAAAACTTCACGGGAAAAGAATGCACACTGCCATTCAAGAGGAGAGGAATTTTGTAGTGAAAACAGTTCCGAGTAACTTACCAGAAGGCCTCCGCCTACGATGCCAGCAAAGAACCACACAAAGCGGCTGAGGTGGTCCTCAACAGCATACTTTGTTTCCCCATTAGGAAAGTAGAGCAAAATATTAGCTACGATGCAGAGGACAGCAAACAACACCAGAGAGTGTCCGATGTATCTTGCACACTTGCTAGAGCACATGGTGGCAGTAGGGACCTACAGGCTTTTGCCCTTCCCTCTCTTCAGCTCAGAGATGTCCAGATCAGACAACACTGTGCCTGTTTGTGGAGAAAGCAGACGCGATTCACAGCCCATTCCTGCTACCACTTAAATAGTGCCAGTTCTTAGTGCCAGTAAATGAGGTACTATGCTTTCATTGGTCCAGACTTCAGGCTCCCGTTGGGGTGGAGGGATTTGAAGAAAGCCCCGCCCTTCAGATGAAATCCTTGGGACGATGAAACCAGGAGTAGGATATGAGAAAAAAGCCTCAGTCACAGGCAAGAGAGAAAATGAGTAATCCACCGTGCAGCTTGCTTACAGGATAGGGATGACAGGGAAGTCTGGCACTGCTTCCAGTAACTGCCTAGAGCTCGTGGTGGGACGCTTCGAGGCTTTGAAAGAGCTATGATTTTTCTCTTGCAGCTATTTGGATAGCTTCCAGTCTGAAGCTGTGTTCACTTCAGCATCAGCACGGATTTAATTTGCGACCTGGGGCAAGTTTCCTCAGCTCTGAGCTCATTTCCTTGTCTAAGACAAGGTGTCCAAGCTGTCACCCACAGATTTAAGGAGGCTGCTGGGAAAAAATTACAGAGTGGCTTCCTTTCCTCTGCCTGCGGCTAGCTCTGCAGGACAGATCCCATAGCCTCCTTGCTTCCCTGGACTGCACTGCAGAGGGCATCAGCCCCACAACAAGATGGTATCCAGCAACACAACAGCTCAAACATTCCTAACCAATGCTGTGCAGCAAAGCAGCACCAGAGACAGAGAAGGAAGGCCTGCAGCATGTCTTAGGGAGAAAGATGGAAGGAGAGGGACTTATGTGCCCTTCCTTGATAGGTCAGAAGAGGAAGATGAGAAAGGCTGATGAACCCACAGACGCCAGCTTAGACCAGATGCAACCCAAAACTATAGAGAATAACCACTAAACACGATGTGAAGAGACCAACCATGGATGGGACTTTTAGTGACATGGGATTAAACTGGAGTGAGGACATAATGCCAGCTGGGCTGAAGAAATAAATGAATATAAATACAGGAATGTATGCAGTGAGTCCCCATAAAAATCTCATTCTGTCACCAACACACTTCTAACAACAGATATGTGGTCTCTGCTTGATTGTGAGTCCTGTTTAGAGACAGCATCCTGTAGCTGATAGGGCTGAGATGTCGATATAGACTGGATTCTTTTAAAAGTAGCAAAGCACTTAGAAACCGCTTTTCCTAAAAAAGCACCCACTACAAGGTTAACAAAAATAGAAGAGAGCCTGGCATCCTTACTTTTGTCATGCCTTTGTCTCTTTTACTCTGGGTGCCCTACTTACCTGATATGTAAATCACTCAAGACGTGTCTGTCTAGGAACTGGCGACACCCAGACTGTCTCATTCTCTTTCGAGGAGACGAGCACGAGCTAAAGGACTAGCCATCTCACTGTCCATCTTCTAGGCCTCTAAAAGACATCTCATGGTCTCTGGCCACCAAGGATTATGAAAACAACTGAGCCTGGTAGAACACATCACACTCCACATGAGGGCAGTTATTAACAGCAGGAGGCTGTACAGTGGAGCTCTCATAATAATCTACAGGGAACCAGCTTGCTCCCTCAAACCATGAGAACTCCTCAGAACACTCGCAGAACCATCACTCACATCACTCACATCACTGCCCCAGTTCTTTCTCTAAACACAAAGCTTACCTCAGTACACTGATATGAACTTGGGGTCACTGGACAACTTTATTTGTTGCTAATCACACTTAACGCTGATTAAATGTCATCTCTCTGTGTTTTGTCATAATCTATCTCTCTAAGTGGCATATTGAGCCTTCTGCCTTCCAGCTTTGTCCCTTGGTCTGCTCAACGACTACACTAGATGAATGTGTGGATCAGTGGTTCAGATTTATCCAGTGTGTTGCTGTGATAGCTTTTCTCTCCTCAGAAAAAAAAAAATGCCCTTGTGTGTAAACAATCACTTTCTCATTGTTTCTAGAGATTCATAAACTCTTAATTGAAACTAATTACTAGATCTTTTTACACTTCTCAAAGTGTAGCCAGCCTGGAGACCACTTTAATTACACAGGAAGATTTAGGTTTTAACCTCAATATAATGAAAGTTTTAGGGGGAGATTGGCAACTCACAGAGATCCACCTGCCTCTGCCTCTTCAGTATAAAGATCAAAGGTGTGTACCACCACTGCCTGGCCCAATACGCATTGTTATCACTCTACATGAGTTGTTTGTTCTCTTAAGTTCAGGAACCAAAACCCCAAATAAAGTGTTACTCCTGCCTGTTGCTCCCTGAGGGTCTCCTGCAATGCTCTTTAGCAATGGCCACCATATGGTGGATTGGAAGCTGTTTAGGTGGGGCTTGCTGCAAAGGTCGGGTGTAAGGTATTTTCAGATGAGCTGACAAAATTGCCTTATCCCTTTCAGATGACAAAGTGAGAGGCACTGGGTAGCCAAGAACCTGTGATTCTCCTCCTTCAACCTATTGAGTGCAGAGATCACAGGCATGGCCTCCATGCCTGCCCCCTAAATTCCTTTGTGGTACATCCTCTCTCTATACCCCCACCCCAAACCCACCCTCATCCCACCCCCAACCTACCCTCACCCCACTCCTGCCTTCTTCAGTGTCCTGTGCTTCTGCTCTGCAGTTGCTCACCTAACCTCAGAAGAAACAAGAGACCTTTCTTATTTGGTTTCTGGCTTAAAACTAAGTATGCTTTGGGGGGACAATTTCTTAACCATGCAGTCATGTTACTAACCAAACCTTAGTCGGGATATAATCGTGGTCTTCTTTTTGGCCACAAACCTGTTTGATAGGCACAATTGCCACCTCCACAGAGCCTTGATGGTCTCCGTTCACCCCATAATCCCTGGTGCTGGTCCTGTCTCTCCTCCTGCCCTTGTTTCTATTCTGAGTATCATCTTTTCTTTAAGCATTACTTTGAAGGATTTTACTCACATGCAAGCTGAACTTCCCTGATGTGAAAATCTGAAATCCATAATGCTCCGGAGTTCAAAACCTTTTCAGCACTGATGTATAACACATATTGAAAAGTTCCATAGCTGATGTCATGTAGTAGGCTGCCATCAAAACACTGGTCCAGGGCCTGGAGATATGCCTCACTTGCTCAGCATGTGCAAGGTCATAACATAGTCACTAAGTTGATCCCTAGTATGGCAAAAAAATAATAAAAAAGAAAATAAAATCCCCAAACTAAAGATGCATTGAAATATTTACTGCTAAAATTAGCTTCGGTCCATGTATATTGTGTTAAGTGTACACACAAAATGTTAAGTGAATTTTGTGCTCAAGCTTGGGTATTATCCCCCCATGTATCTCAGTATATATATGAAAACATTCCAAATACCTAATCTGGAAGCTCTGGTGTTGAATAAAGGATAATAAACCCACATTATTTTCCCAAAGCCTCCTTGAACACTAGCCCACTGATGCTCTATTCCATTCCTACTCTTCTCCATCCCAACACACCGTGTTCTATTAACGCTGCAGAGCTATCACCCCAATATTGCCCTGATGGTCACTTGCTTCACTTCTCTCTCTCCCACAGACTGTAGGTACCTCTGCGTTGTCCACCACTGCTGCCATACTTGACATTACACCTGGTGTAACACAAGTGTTTAGTAAATATTGTTAGATATTGAATGCATAAAATAAGCAAATCAACGTTCTTTAAACATTTTTAAAGATTTATTTATTTTTATATTATGTGTGTGGGTGTTTGCCTACATGTATGTCTGTGAACCGTGTGTGTGCATGCCTAGTGCCTGAGGAGGACAGGTGAGAGTGTCAGATCACCTGGAGTTCCAAGTGGTTGCTGGGTGTCATATGAGTGCTTGCAATCAAACCAGGTCCTCTGGAAGGGCAGCCAGCACTCGTAACTGCTGAGCCATCTCCCCAGTCCTTGATGTTCTTATATGCTTCTTAATGGATGGAAATCTAGTCCCTCTGCTTTCTGTGCCTTCTGGGAGCTCATGATCCCATGTCTAAAGTCTTCTTGGCTCTCACATCATTCTTTTCTTGGTCCTGATATCACCTGGCTACTTAGTCTGTTGCAAGTTATCTGTGGCTTGGTTTCTCTTGTCTATTCATTTCTGGTTATTGTGCACCTATGATGCCTTTCTAATGAGTGGCTGGAAACACAGCCATAAACCAAACAAAGCTTTTGCTCGTTGTATGCTTAAGAGAGAGACTTTTTAAATGTGTGAACTACAGACTAAGATTATTATGAATGCAAAAGAGGGATTAGGTGAAGGACAGGCTAGAGAGGACCTCTATGAGATGGATAACCAAATTTACCTGATGATAGTAATGTGAAGTGAGTCAATGTGCAAACTGCTTGAAGCACGTGGTGTTTAGCAACAGCACAGTTCTCATTATTTATTATTTACTTCCTAATTTCAGCCACCCATCCTCCCAGGTAAGATGCCTTAACTTCATTGATGATACATTTTGTTTATTTTTCTAAGATTCCATCAGTCTGATATTGCTGGTTCTCCTCATTGTTCTTGATTAATATTTAACTCCTAGAGTCCCAACAGCTCTGGCTCACTTCTAGCATCCCCACCCCTCTGGAATCAATGCATAGATGCGTCTTGGAGGAATGGTTTTTACTACAGTGTAGACATGTAGATTCTTGAGCACTGGTCACAGGCTCTCAATCCCATATTTCGGTATGCTGCTCCACTGCCAGAAGACTGTCCTGCCCTACTCCACCCCATCCTTGCTCCCTGGGATGAACCCACTGCTTCTTCAAGGTGCCTGCCAGTCTATTGTATCGCTGCCTATCCTCCCCGACTGCTCAGGACTTTGTTTCTGACACATCATACCCTACTGTGGTACTCATCACACCGTGATATGTGACTATGTATCCTGGTCATCCCAGACTGAGTCTGCCATCCCGGGGACTTGTACCTTCTCCTCACTCCACAAAAGTAGAACAGTTGACACAAGGTCAGGCATTTCAGTGACTTTTAATAAACATTTGCCAAACGAATTAAATATTTGTTCACATAAACAGGTTGAAGTTGAGAGTGTTCGGTTAGAAGGTTATTTGCCTTTAAGAAAAGTCAACACTGTTTGAAAAGGTAGGCAAAGTTGGTATTTATAGTGTTTGTGTAGTGTTCGTGTATATGTGTGAGAATGGGAGCGCATGGCAGCCAGGGGGGTTGATAGAAGGCTTCTTCCACAATTTCTTATTCACCAGAGTCTCTCACTGAACCAGGAGTTCACCA